AAGGAGTAAATAACGGGTAATGGAGGAACAACTGTACTCTGCAGGCTCCATATCCCACAATGTATCAACTACAAATTCCTTTGTAATCGTAAGCTCTACAACTTCAGTTCTATCAATGCTAGGCACGCTACTCATTTTTATCACATACTTCACATGGAAAGAAATACGAACTTCTTCACGACAAATTCTCTTGTTCATCTCAATTGCCGACTTCTTTAACGCTTTAGGGGACATGTTTTCTGTCGTACATGACGAGGAAACTTTTCCTGKTTGTCGAATACAAAGTTTCGTAACAACAGCATCAAGTCTTTGTTCCTTTTTCTGGACGACATTCATGTCTGTATACTTGGTTGTGACTATCGCAATGCGAAAACCAGCACTTGCTGAGAGGTTATTCTGCGGATTTCATTTTTTCGCCTGGGGAGTTCCTTTTGCGATAACTGGCGTTGCACTTGGTTATGATGTACTGGGAAACGACAGAGATCTGTTCTCAGCTGGATGGTGCTGGATTAAAAAAATGGAAAGAGAAAAACAAATAATGTGGATGTGGTTCACGGGGAAGGCATGGGAGATCGCTACTTATCTGCTTATAGTTGTATTCTATGCAGTGCTGAAGTGGTACATTCGACAGGATGTGAGTATAATTAAAGGTTAAATATTAGGTTAACGGCCATCTGTGAAGAGCATGCACTCGGCTTGAACAGTTAGAGGGGGAAATATCTTGAAATAACAGCCAAACCACCTGTCATTGTTCTCTAGGCCAGCCACCGCTGGCCGCCCCATTGCCGGATTAGCTCACTAGTTGCAATTAATTTATTTAAAGATTAAAGATTAAAGATTAAAGATTAAAGACCACCTGACAAATCTGTGTTAAGTATAACAGCCATGTTTTAAAATGAAAGCAAATTGCTTAAAACTAAAATTTTTTTTGAGAAAAATAAGAGAAAAATTTAACAAGACCAACCCCTTTCATGTGAAAGGCCCCTGCCATAATAAGCTTACATATTCTAAATTTAAAGCTAATTTGGTCTATTATCTTATGTTGTAGATCAAATACAAATGTGAGCAGTTTACAACGACAACAGCACGTCAAGTAGCAGCCAAAGCTGACAGAAAGCTGACATTTGTACCACTTGTCTTTATCTTGTGCCGTATTTGGGGCACTGTCCGCTTTCTTCTSTATGTTTGTAATGTGACCAATGAGAAAGAATGGCTTGTTTATCTTCAGGTAAGATTAATTTAGGCTGGGTTAAACTGGGTGTAATGGGTCAGAGCATCCTGGTAAGTTATGGATGATTATCTAGGTCAGGCATGGATGGCATTCAAGGGTGCACACGTGTAACATCAAGCAGTGTTTGGAGTGCAACATTGAGTAGGATTGAGAGTAACTGATGTGTATTGCATTGTTTTGCCATAGAGTAGGCTATCTAGGGCAGCAGAAAAAGTAACTCCATGGAAATCGTAACAATAGCTGTCTATGTGTTGTTGATATTGGTATGGTAGCGGCCCAAAGGGGTAAATGGGTGTGGTATTTAAGGGTACATAGGGGACCAGAAGAAGGGATAGCAACTAGTCTCTTTGTCAGTACTAACAAGTAATTTTTGCTGATCACCAGGGCATAGGAGACAATGCACAAGGCTTTGCCAATTTTATGCTGTTTTGCTTCTTCACTGAGAAATTCCAGACAAAATTCAAGCAAGTTTGCTGTCCATGTATCAAGTCAGAACCCATGAAAACTGGTCCTCATAATAGCAACGATCAAAGACCAAGGGCTTCAATTAAYGAGAGAACGTCTCTACTCTCAAGCACGAAGAGTAATGGAAAAGACTGACACAATAGAAAATATGATAGAACTGGCTAAAGGAATGCCTGATGCAATACCTTMAAGAAAATGACCTGTGAAACAAAAACCTTACAGGAAAYAACTCRGGAAACAAAAAGGAGAAACCCCTTTCAAAGTATATCTCTTTAAAAAGAAAATACAACCAGCTATTTCAACATTACAATATTTAATACAATGACAAGTCTCCTTRCCAAGAGCAAGCAATGCAAATGTTTTGTTTGTATGAAATGGTAGTAAATAAGCTAAAATCTTGCTTAGGGTKTGTTGAAAGTTATCATTTTTCAACCACAATCTCACAGCACATAATTGTCTTTATCCACGACATTCTGTGTTTTTGACATTATTTTAGAACTTATTTTCAGAGGTAGGTAGGTAGGTTTTCAGCTGTGGTCATAACATTATTAGGGTATAGTGCTAAAGTGGACACTATATTATTATGTTTTCTTAAAAACATAGAAAAAACTGTTATATAGGGCTGAATTGTTCTAATAAAACAGAGAAGCTACAAGTTGACATTTTGTTGTACATTATTCTATTTATTAAATATATATTATATAATATACAAAATCATGACATCATTCATTTTGTTACATTTGAAATAACATTTTTAAGTTCCAGATATTACTATGATTGATRATTYKACTTYAAWCAAAYACAAGTTAACACTTTCAATTTTTTTT